GACGACATCCATAAATTGAAAAATTCAGTGCTGTTAGCAAACTCAGGCCTGACTGTTGATGAGACCAATAAACGCAAGCCGCGTATTATAATCATAGGAGTACCTTCATCTATGACTGAAAGTGACGTCTATAAGTGCATCTACGAGCAAAACGTAGCAGAATCGTCATTAAATATATCTAGAGATACTTTCCTGAACTCTATAAAACTGAGCCACAAATCAGGAAAACGAGATGCAGACACCTGCAACTATATTTTAGAAGTACCTGCTACTATACGCAAAGCCTTAATTATACAGGACAGACTTTTTATTAACTGGAATTTTTGCTCGGTACGTGATTTCACACTTGTAACTAGATGCTACAATTGCCAGCAATATGGCCATGCCGCTAAAACTTGCAAGGCGACAGCTTCTACCTGTGGCCACTGTGGCGAAGATGGCCATTCTCTCAAAGACTGCACAAAAAAAGCCGATCCACCAAAATGTGCCACTTGCGTTAAATTTAAAAAACCGTGCGGCCATAGGACCGGAGTTGCCGAATGTCCAGCTAAAAAAGCTGCCGAAACTAGGTACATTAATACTATTGATTATGAAGGCGCCTAGAGCGCCACTTATTTGTTATAATTAGAACTTTACTATGGACATTAATATAATAAATGAAATAGATGATCTATCTATGTCTAATTCATGTTTATGTGAAGTCGAAGAGTGTAGACAATATCTGACCGCTTATAAAAACTCATTAACTGTACTCACCCAAAATATACGTAGTATTTATAAAAATATTGATAATTTTGATATTTTCCTCCATAGGCTTAACTTTGTTTGTGATGTAATTATACTAACCGAGTGCTGGTTAACAAAACGGAACGGCAACCTACCAACAAGGCCAGGTTATAACTTATTTTATAGTCAAAATAATCACAACCAAAATGATGGAATAGTTATTTATGTTAGAGACTCCTTGCAAGTCACCCTCGAGGAACCAGCTCTTCAGGGTTGTAGTTGTTTGTTGGTACATATTAACCAAGATACAGTTATTGTCGCAATATATAGATCCCCATCTGTCACAAACATAGATAATTTCAACGGAAACTTAGACCAGATACTTCAATCATTAACATCTTTTAAAAATGTAATAATTACGGGTGATATTAACATAAACATTATACCCGACATACATGATGCTGGAACCCAAGATTATCTCAATCTATGTTCGTACCATGGTTTTTACCCAGCCCATACATTACCAACACATCAGAGTGGTTCTTGTCTCGACCATATGATGATAAAATCTAGGTCAACATATCTAACACTTGTCACAAAAACGCCGCTTACCGATCATTCCGCTGTCTTACTAACCTTAAATTTATCGCTGCCTAAACTGAATCATAAACTAGTAAAATCTAAGTTAAACATAAAGAAACTCGAACACGATTTATGCAAGCTTGACTTTGCCCCAGTTTTTCAATCGACGGACGCGAATGCATCTTTGTTGTATTTAATTAATAATGTTGAACAAGCTATATTACATAATACGTCTGTGGTTGCTTCAAATAAACAATATTAAAATATCAAACCTTGGATAACCCCGGGTATTATTCGATGTATAAGACACAGGGATAAACTTCATATGAGGACAAAAAAATATCCCGATAACCTCACATTGCTAGTTATCTATAGGAGATACAGGAATTTCGTTAATAATCTTTTGAAAAAATTAAAAGCAAATTATGAAAAAAATGAACTACTCAAAGCAGGCAAGGATAGCAAACGCCTTTGGAGACATATTAAAAATTTTACCTACACTTCAAAAAGGCTCGAATCGTGTTCGAGTTTACTATTAACCCATCCTTCACCGCTTATATCAGCCAATTATGTAAATAACTATTTTATTAATATGGGAAAAGACCTTGCAGAACGCCACCAACCTCTAAATCTATTTTCTCAGTCACTTAACCACCAGTAGGAATAGTTTTGTTATGTTAGATACCGACCAACAAGAAATTTTACAAATAATTACAGATTTGAAAGATGACAGTGCAGTCGGCTTTGATAACATTAGCAATAAAATCCTCAAAACTTTTAAGCATATTTTAATACCACCGTTAACACGCATTTTTCAAATCTGCCTCTCGCAGGGTATTTTTCCACAATGTTTAAAAAAAGCAGTAGTTACTCCTGTCTATAAATCTGGATGTAAAGATCAAGTAAATAACTATAGACCAATATCAGTGCTTCCATCCTTATCAAAACTATTAGAAAAAATTATTAACAAAAGGCTTATTGACTACCTGGAAAAAAATAACTATTTGTCACCTACGCAATTTGGTTTTCGGGCAAAGTTGTCAACAGCAGATGCGGTGCATAACCTGACTAACTATATTACTCAGGAACTAGGCAAAGGAAAGCATACTCTAGCTGTTTTTCTTGATTTAGCAAAAGCATTCGATACCGTTTCAATTCCGAAGCTTCTAAAAAAGTTGGAAGCATTGGGTATTAGAGGAACGCAGTTAAAACTATTTGCAGATTATTTAGACAATCGATCTCAATGCGTTAAAATAGGAAATATTAAAAGTGATTACCAGAAAATGACCTGCTATGGTATTCCCCAGGGAAGTATAATCGGCCCTACCCTTTTTCTCGTTTACATCAATGATTTATGTAACCTTAATTTAAAATATGGTAAAATTATATCTTACGCCGATGATACGGCCTTGATTTTTAGCGCCAATAGTAGGTCAGAATTATATGAGGTAGCTCAACTTGGTCTTAATGGTGTAAATAACTGGCTTCGCTGCAATTTACTAACACTGAATACTGACAAAACCAATTATATTCACTTTTCTATGCGCCAGCCTTGTCATGGGTTTACAAATCCTAACTTATACGCACACCAATGCCAATATCCTTCAGTCAATAAATGCGATTGCCCTTTAATACAGAACACATCCCATATAAAATATCTTGGTATCTTAATTAACGACACATTATCTTTTAGACAGCATATTGCAAATCTAGTAGTCAGGATCCGTAAATTAATGTATATTTTTAAAAAATTACGTACCATTGCAGGTCCAAAACTAATAAAACAGGTATATCAGGCCTTATGCCAATCAGTAATTCAATATTGTATAACTTCATGGGGTGGAGCTCTCAAAACTATTTTAATCCCCCTCGAGCGAGCTCAGAGAGCCATTTTAAAAGTAGCCAATTCACTTCCCTTCTTATATCCTACGCATCAACTTTACAAATACTGTAATGTGTTAACTGTTCGCCAGCTTTTCATTATGCACACCATATTAAAACAACACACCATTTCACCTTTTTGCTCTGATATCACTAACAAAAGACGGAAAGATATAGTCTGCATCTCTACACATGATTCAAAATACATCTTTTCACATAGATTCTCTACTTTCCTAAGTCCTTTCTTATATAATAAGTTAAATAGAGTATTAGGTATTTACACATTAAACTATTTTAACTGTAGAACTGTAATATTTAATTATTTGCACAGCCTGACATACGAGCAGACCGAAGAATTACTTCTTATTTGTAAATAAATGAACGTAACTCCATTATTTACATTTACCAACATTTATATAATGATTACTTTAAGTTCTGTTTTAATTAATTTGTTAATTTATTAAATATTCTATGTATTATTTAGATCATAAAAGCCTGAAATACAGGTACAATTTTAACTGTAACCTAGTTCAGGCATCCATTATTTTGTATTTTATATTGTTATTAGTATTATTATGCAATGTATGACCTTATTGGAATAAAGATATATTTATTATTATTATTATTATTATTATTATTATTATTATATCAATCACTTTTTCAAGAATTAAATCCAAGTAAACCAATAAAACCAAGATTTCTTAGTATTCGATTGTTTGATATCAACAAAGAGGCTCCAAATTGTCTTTTGTTTCTTTAAATTCTGTGTTCGAAATTCAAAAAAAGACTATTGAATGAAATTGTGAATGTGCCAGGTTCAAAACTGCATAAAAACTTTTTGCTCGACCTAATATAAAATTTTAGCTAGGACCAAACGAAACTGAAAATACAAGGTGGGCCAATAGATGTGTCCAGAAGTGTATCTTTATCAAAGAGCTGCGCGTTAAGTGTTCTCAAAAGAACTGGATTATATGGAACTACCCAGCGGTTGTCAATCTCTACTCCATTTATGTCAAAAATTAAGAACCCTGGGATACCTCTAACAGCAGTTTTAGTTTTTCATACAAGGTGACTTATAATTAAAACTTCCGCTTTACCCATGTATCATATAGGAATTAACTATTAAGAATAAGATTTTTCATACAAACGTTCTTCCTCTATTTTAACCCCTTCGGGGGTGAATTTTGAAAAATCATTTCTTAATGCACCCTTGAACCTCTTAAGGAACCTACTCTCTAGACCTAGAGGTTTGGGTTGTGCATTGATATTTCAGTCAGTCAGTCAGTTCCATTTTTGTATATTTAAATTTAGAGATTCGATTTAGTTGAATTTGGAATTAAAATAAATGGTCATGAAAAAAGTTTTTATTTTACGTTTAGAGTAAACAGGTATTTGATTTTATCTTTCTTGTGGATTCTTGTGGATAGTATCCTAAATGCAACATTAATAAAGTATAAAGAAAATTTCTACTAACTCAGTCAATCTTTGTGAGGTAGTGTCCGAACATGGCCGACATACGGTCGCAGTACCGCATGTACGGCGTCTGCCGAAGGAGATCTAGCAACGCTACTAGCATTGATTGGAACAAAATTACAGTTTTCATACCAACAACACGGTATAGTGCAGTGCACATGCCAGTTGTCGTGAAATCGCTTACTCCGTGTCCGCGAAAAGGTAACAGTATCTGCGGTAGTGTCCGAACATGGCCGACATGAGGTCGCAGCGTACGGACGGCCGTACGGAGGCGTCTGCCGAAGGAGTTCTGCCAACGCTACTAGCATTGCTTGGAACAAAATCATAGTTTTCCATACCCGGAAAGAACACGGTATAGTCCAGTGCACAAGCCAGTTGTCTTAAGAACGCTTGCTCCATGTCCGCGAAAAGGTAACAGTTTCGAAGGTAGTGTCCGAACATGGCCGACATGAGGTCGCAGCGCCGCACGTACGGCGTCTGCCGAAGGAGTTCTGGCAACTAGAAAGAACGATTATTATGAAATTATTCTATATCTTTTTGTTTGTCCTAACCTAACCTAACCGGTATCAATGAAAAATGTGATACCAATATTTTTTAACCACAGGAATCTTTATACCGTTTGTGTCAGTCACATCAAGGCAGTGTTACATACATGGCAGAATGGTAATTTTGTTATGTTTGTAACCAAATATGTCTAGATAAAAAATAATATTACTTCCATCTTATTACTTTTACATTATTATATGTGCTTGTCCAATGCCATTACAAAGTGGGTATACATCCAAACCATTAATAACACCGGGAAAATCATAAGAAAAATGTAGGCGTAGTCACATTTTTAGCCTACACGGACTCACTTCATCCATCAAAAGGCTGACATTACTTTCATTCTGCAGACTACAAACACAGCGCGTTTTATTCTTTGTTCAAACATTTTGATTCGAACGAGAAAATAGACTAATGGAAACACCGCATCACAATTAAGGATTGTGAAGTCTTTGTGTATTTTTCTTATTTAAAATTTTTTTTTGTAAATGTAAAAACAAAATGGAGGGGGTAAAAGTGGGGCTACTGCTGAAATAAAAGATTGTTTGGACTCAAAAATAAATTAGACCCATTATTTCAATCCAATGAAATCAGTACCTCTGATGCTATCTAACTCGCAATCTATGTATTATCTACCCAAAATCTAATTTTAGTTAATTCGTCTGGTCTATGACAATATAATCTACTGTGAGTAACAATGGTAGGTAAAACAAATATTTTTCGCAACGACATATAACTCTATATTGCTTCGTTGATCAAAGCTATAAGTATTAAATAAATAGATATTTCCAACACTCGCACCAATGAGCCTAGACTCACAGTAAGTAGTATGAGGCTTGTGTTATGGGATACTAGGGTAACGGATAGAATACATATACTATACATATATAAGTATATTTATATAGAAATATATATTAAACATCCGTAACTGGAGTACAAATGCTCGTATTCATCACACAAACATCTGCCCCAACCGGGTTCGAACCCAGGACCCCTGGAGTCGGCGACACCATGAAACCCGGTGTACAAACGACTCGGCCACGGAGGTCGTCAAACTACGTCGTATACTGTTTAAAACTTGTCATCTTTACGAATATTGCGAAGCTTTCAAAATACGAAATTATGTAACACAGCAGACGGGACTCGATCCCGCACCCTTCGCAATCCGGGCGAATGCACTGACCAATTATGCTACCGCGGCCCTCACGGACCGCGCCGAAATTCCTCTAGCCATTCTTAAGCTGCAAGGCAGCGCCATCTCTTCGCATTATAGATAACCTACAATGTCAAATGAATACTTTTACAAGTATTAAACATTTGAAAGAAGAAACAGCAATTATAGTTTTTTTTTTTTTGACATTGTGGGTTACCTATAATGTGAAGAGACGGCGCGGCCTTGCAGCTTAAAAATGGCTAGAAGAATTTCGACGCGGTACGTGAGGGCCGCGGTAGCATAATTGGTCAGTGCATTCGCCCGGATTGCGAAGGGTGCGGGTTCGAGTCCCGTCTGCTGCCTGGTCCGCGTGGAATTTTTTCTAGTTATATTTTCTTTAGATTTAAACTTCAAGCAGTTACATGCTTTAAAAAATAATAAAAATTATAATTATGTAACACAGTTTTTATAGTGAAACTTTTAGGTAACCTAGCAAACAAGCGTGGCTCAGTTGTAGAACAGGTTGGATTCCCAGTATAGGAAGGACTTTATTTTATAATGTTATTAAAAGTTTTCATTGCATTATGGTTTCATATAACCATACCATTTTTTTATAATTCCCCTGGGATAATAAATTAGATGTCAATCGAACTATTATAAAAAAATATTCTTAAAAAAAGTGCTCATACCATAATATCAAAATATAATCAATTAAACCAAAATCTTTAAATGCAATAATTTGTAGCGTCAGCGTGTACTTTGTTACTAGATCACGCCGAGCACAGAATTTACAGCTGACGCACATCAATGTTAGTTAGGAAAATTAGGAAATAAGATGTATATAAGAATAAAATATGCTCTAAGTTATCAGGCGACACACTGGCTGTTTGATCCCTCATCTCCCGTCATTGAGAGCTAAAATTTTAATAATAACGATTCGTGACCAAATTATTTGCTCTTAACGTTTATAGAATCGTTTATTGTTGCTATGAATCCAAAAGGCTTTTATTTCATTGTACGAAATCAAAGCCAAGGGTAGTTATCAATTGTATCAAATGGTATTGTAAATTTAATATCATGAATATAGTTAGATTTGCTGCGGTTGCGGCTCGTTACATTCGCTTTGCCTATTGTTGATCATAATAACAATACTATCAGCTATTGCATTGTATGTGTGTATGATATTGTTATATTTCATTTTCGAATATTTAATTGCCAATTTAATGACATTTATAACAGAAACAGTGTGAAAAAGGTGTTATACGAAAAAAATGCTAATGTCATATGTACAGTATAATATGATTACCACATAATATTAATAATAAAAAACGTGTATTCGCATATGATGTGTAATATTTGACACCTCACCTTCTATAAGTAAAAAAAGAAATACAACCTACTAAAATAAAAGGGAATAAGCAATTTAATCATTATGTTCTAAAATCAAATCAAATAGCGCGCGCTTCCGTCCCATTTCACGAAATCACTCCCACAAATTGCAAGAAAGCGAGAGGAAAGATGTTATATTTAAAAAATCAACAGATCTTAAAAATTCGAGTCCACAAGTAACTTGGTTCCTAGCATTAAACGAACCTCTTTGCAATTAAGATTTAGTATAAATGATTTTGTTGATCGATGTAGCAAAAAAGGAATGACTAAAAGCACTTACCTGACGACCTCGCTCTGTCATCCACAACTGTCGAACATACTTCCAGAACTTTTTCAATTGGTAACCTATAAAAAGGGTTTAAACATTTTTTTATATAATTTTATACAGTTCCCGATAAGGCCGCGTTGTTAAATTTGAATCTAAAGTTAAATTTGAAGTGTTGTTATAAAGTTACATACCATTTAATAATAATAAATTTATTTATTGTCACATAAATTGATTACATACTTGTTTATAATGTAGTCCCTGATCCTTATGATAGGATAAAGACCTGTGTGACAGGGGTCAGTGCCCACTTCCGAATATATAGATCATAACTATTTACACGGTAATAATATATTTATGTACAACACAACAGTTTTACAATAAGACATACATTATTGAAATAATTAAAGCAATCAGAATTCGATCAGAATAAATAAGTGCGCGTGAGTGTCCGTGTGTCCGTGTCCGTGTGTCCGTGTCCGTGTGTGTGTGTGTGTGTGTGTGTGTGTGTGTGTGTGTGTGTGTGTGTGTGTGTGTGTGCGCGCGCGTGTGTGTGTGTGTGTGTATGTGTGTGTGTGCGCGCGTGTGTGTGTATGTGTGGTTGTGTGTGTGTGTGTGTATGTATGTGTGTGTTTTAGTGAATGTGCGTGCAAGTCAGAAAGTAGGGAACTTACTTTAACAGCAAAGATTCGGTATAATCATAGTTAAGGGTAAGTAACCATTTTCTTATTTTTGTTTTCGCGTCTTTAATAGCTAATGGGTAAAAATCAATTAAAATTAAAATTTATCATGAGGACGCCGTGTTGTATAACAAAAGTCATGTCACATAATCTCGCACTTTTAGGACAAATTCTTCTGCATTTTGTTTTAAATTTAGACAAGCTTACTCACTTGAGAGTCCTTGATTCTTTAGCATATCGATGAGTTCAGCCGTGGCCATCTCGTAAGTGGTCAAAGCGTACTTCGTAGAATACGCAACCTGTATAGAAGTGGCGACCACTGTGGTTGCCAACATTTTGCCGCATATCAGACACACGACCATGATGGACATGCATACCACCGTGTCGATCACATACTCGTCGCTGCCTGTCATGGTTAACTCGGCAATCACTATGTAAATGGAGGTTATATAATCCCAGAGGCGGTGCGATGCATCACTGTAAATGTGTCGACAAATTTTATCAGCCATAAAAAATCTGGACTGTTACCCCCTTATTAATAAACGAAGCATACGTTTAGATTAGTTAGTCCATGCTCTGTCTCTATGACATTTGAGAGATATTATGAACAAAACACGACTTCAATAGTATAGCTTATTATTCTTTTTTTAATAAAGGGATAAGCGTATTATAGGAAATCATAAAATAATAGTGTAATTTCTATTTGAAATAAAGAATTTTCTAATTTATGTTAATTCTATTATTTTTGTGTTTGAAACTATAAAAATAGCTTGCGCGTTTTAATAAAAACTAGCGAGCCTTACAGTAGTCGCGTATGATGTGTAACATTTGAAACCTCACCTTATATTGGTAAAAAAAGAAATAAAACCTACTACAAAAGGAATTAGCCGTTTGAACATTATGTTCTGAAATCAAATCAAATAGCGCGCGCTTCCCAAAATTCCTGTTACACACTTCCGTCCCACTTCACGTAATCACTCCCACAAATTGCAAGAAAGCGAGAGGAAAGATGCTACACATCAAAAACTGTGTGATGGTATCAAGATATCCAACTTACTCATCTATGAGATGCAATTTCAATGTGCGAATATTGCTCACGGGAGCTATTCCTGTCAAAGTCAACAGCCACACACACGCAAATGTGTGAATAAGGAGCACCACCACTATAACTGTGATCACAACCTGAGGAAATTGTAATTATATTAAACACACCCAGATACATAAATTATCATGTCTGAACATATTTCGCTAGAAAAAATATGAAAATCCTAGAATCCGCCCACAGTATCACCTATCGGGTGGTCCAGTTGTGAATACAAATAGTTAGGGAGGGTGTGAGGGACTACGCAAACAATCAATTTCATTAAAATCGGATCAGTTTAGATAGAATTGAAAATTACTTGAGTCGAATCATTGTTAATAGCATCGCTACTCTGCAGCCAATACGCACCACCTAAAAATAAAAAGATATAGCATTTAAAGATTTTCTACTTTTGAGTTTTGGAGGTTATTTTTAGATAAAAATACGTGGAACGGAACTATAGAATTATACCGGTCCCGTGGATTAGTGCCGAAAAAAATGATTTTTATCATGTATGATTAGCAGGCGTAAGTACTGACCGACCGCGACAAAATACTTTTAATTATTACCTAACAAAACGATCGACGGTTATAACGATCTTTCTGATAGATAAATTAAATATAGTTTAAAGTGTAAAACGATGTAGTCCAGTCGGAATAAACATGAGACCTATTCTAAGACACCAGCGCTTAGCCAATTTTTTCCTAGATAGTATAGACCCCCACGAATATGCCCTCCATTTGTCCCCGCTAGAACCCGTGTTTTGTAGCCAGGAAAATTGTTTAAACAAAGAAAAACCGGTTTTTTTGAGTTTTTTTGCTTGTAAACGGGGATTTTGAATTTTTTTTTGAATCAAAGTTGTTCATTAGCTTGCCCTCTACAAAATCAGTTCTATGAAAAAATAACGTGAGATTGTTAGTTTAGCAGTAAATTGCAATTATGTCGGTTTTACGTTTGCAACAATTCAACATGTTATAATAAACATTTTGATTTCTAAAGTAGTTTATCATGTGGGTAACGCCACTCCCAAGAGAGTCATGTAAAATTTATCGACCTGTGTCGCAAACTTTAGCAACAATTCTCAATCTCCGAAAAAAAAGTACTTGCCTGTCCCGTCTTTCCCAGAAGGCGCACAGCGGGGAAAAAAATTCAGGTGATTCGATTCACCAAGAATTTTGAGGAATCGATCGAGTAGAAAAAAATCGTTGGTAAAAATGTTCGTTTTTGGACGATTTAATTTTTTTTTAAAAATTGACGTAGAATATTTTTTTTTTTAAACTAATGTATTTTTCACTCCTCAACTCGAATATAAGATTGAAAATTTAAAAAATTCAGTTTATTTATGTACAGAAATTATTTACAAAACTATTAACTAAAATTCGATTACAAGACTGCGTTGTATTCTATATTTCTAATTAATTTCGTCCTTTTTTCTTCCGGTTCATAATCGGAATTCTCAGGGTATATTAGTTTAGTAGTATTTATATTATTATTTATGGCACAAAGATTGTCAATTGCCATCCAGCGTGGCAATGCTCCTGATATTCAAATATCACCCCGTATCGTTTCTGGCACCTTTGCGCCAGAAACGATACGGGGTGATATTTGTATATTATTCTTGTACATAATGTTAATTTTAGTTATTATATTATATTTTTAAGGTTTTTAGTTTTAGGTTCATTGTTACAACTTTATGCAATTTAAATAATTATATATATATATTCAGAATAGTATATTCGAGTTGATCGATAAATTTTACATGACTCTCTTGGGAGTGGCGTTACCCACATGATAAACTACTTTAGAAATCAAAATGTTTATTATAACATGTTGAATTGTTGCAAACGTAAAACCGACATAATTGCAATTTACTGCTAAACTAACAATCTCACGTTATTTTTTTATAGAACTGATTTTGTAGAGGGCAAGCTAATGAACAACTTTGATTCAAAAAAAATTTCAAAATCCCCGTTTACAAGCAAAAAAACTCAAAAAAACCGGTTTTCTTTGTTTAAACAATTTTCCTGGCTACAAAACACGGGTTCTAGCGGGGACAAATGGAGGGCATATTCGTGGGGGTCTATACTACCTAGGAAAAAATTGGCTAAGCGCTGGTGTCTTAGAATAGAAGTCGGTCCAAATTATGGCTATTCCGACTGGACTAATGGAAAACCAACGAACAACATACTTGAAGTTGATTTAATCACTAAACCAATAATAGGCTCAAAAGTCATGACGCTGAGCCACAATAAAAAATGTGATTATTTAATAAACTAGTCAATTGCGTTTCCCTTTTTAAGGTTTTTAATTCCAGACTTAGACGACTATCTTCACTTATTTGATAAATCTTTTGATATTATTTTATTAACATTTATGATAATGACATGTACAGACGCTAAAGATTTCCTTCAACAAATATTTCGCCATTGTCCTTTTCGGTGTTGACAGGTGGCCTACTTGTGGACGTCGCGTGGTCAAAGCGCACTCCACACCAGTGCCCGTGCGTTCTAAGCAAACGTTCAACGCATAACGAGCATGCAACGGGTTGGGGTTGTTACCAAGTGGTCCACTCGCACTCAGTGCATTGTCCACTGGCTGTACACGCGTGATAAATTCAGTGTTACCAACCCTTACAAAAATTTTACCCTAAGAATTTTTTAAAATCCCCTAAATATAGAAATTCATATGTACCTACTTATCTTATTACCGTAATTCTTTCGTTGCTCATAAATTAAAACGTTACATATTTAGTTACAGTAAATTATTTTATTGAATAAATACATTTTCCGAATGGAAAATCAAACGAAATGAGCTGACAGGCTGTTAAATCTTATTTAACTGTTTTGATTGGTGGAAGGCAAAGAACTTTAGTCCATACAGCCTTAGTTAACAACCTGCCACACAGTGAGTTCAGTCGTTTCATATCGTGGTGCGTTCCATTCTACGCACAAAACTGAAAGAAAACACACGCTTTGTTTTTCGATTTAATTGAATGTTTTGTTAAAAGCCCCTAAAAGAACCCCCAAAAAATTCCAGCCCCTAAAAAAGTCCGCTTTAACCCTTCTAGCCCCTAAATCTGAGGGCAAAACCCCTAAGTTGGGAACCCTGGATAAATTTGCAAGCAAGGCAATACGAAATGGTTGTAGTGAGCGCAGAGAAGTCACATAAATAATAAGAACCGGTGGCGGCGATGCTGTTGGAGTGATAGTGGCTCTAATGAGCGATGACCTTTAATCACTGTCGAAGAGTGATGGCGAGATTACATTTGGTCGCTAGCCCGAATACGTGTGCCAATGGAATTCGGGTAAACTACTAAATGTAAATGAATGGAGTCGAGTACGCTCGTACTCGGGTAGTTTTCGTTAACACCGTCTTCCAGACCGTATTCCAGTGTGAATATTGCTTCGGGTACCCGAATTCGAGTAATTTCTTTCGTGCACCTCAATACGAGCTAACGAGCAAGTGGAGCCTTGAGACGCGAGCCTTAACCAACCTTGCTCAGCTAGGTCTTCTATTATCTATATAACCTTTTTATTATTTAAAATTAAAGTATTTAAATATATTGCGGCCTAACAAATCATAGAAGAAATTAGACTCAAATCTGAAATTAGCATTATTTGATGCAATATTTTTTTAACGTATATAAAGCAAAAGTTTATCTATGAACAGTGTTAGATTTTATCAGTACTTTTCGTACATGCTTTGAGGGAAAATTCCAATTTTTTGCGTCAGTTATTACGGACCCAGAAATTCAATCTCCGGACTCGTCAGAAATCGATTAGGTACCTACCCGCAATAAAATAAGCTCTTTGATATTACTTCATTGTCCATATTAAAGATTGATATTTTCCTTTATTTTATTACTTCCTGGTATAATGAAAATAAAATTCTACTTCCACCCTTACCGACGCGATCAAATTATGTCGTTATAAGTTAAAATAATAAAACATTATTTATAATCACACTAATATTATAAAGGCGAAAGTTTGTGAGTGTGTATGTTTGTTACTTCTTCACGTCTAAACGGCTGGAGCGATTTTAATATAATTTGGTTTGAAGTTAGCTGACACCCTGAATTAACACATAGGCTACGTTTTACTACGGGAAAATATCCCTAATAAACCGCTGGTAACAGCTAGTATTCGATAGATCTTACTTGTAAAGTTGTCAAGTTATTCGTAAGTTCCCCTGCAGTTTTCCGACAGAAATCAATCAAATATTTCAACCTGAGTAGTTTATTAGCACGTAGATAATGCATCGCTCTTAGTGGATTCCTAAAATAATGTCAAATTAATTTCATTACGTATAAGTATAATTATTTTCCAACACTGAAAGGATTATGTTATGGGATACTAGGGTACTGGATAGAATACATATACTGATAGAATACATACATATATAAGCATATTTTATCGAGTCTAGAAACACATATAATCATCCATGATTTAGGGGCAAATACTCGTATTCATCATTCGTCCCACCAGGATTCGAAGCCTTCATCAATTCACATCCTATCTAATTTAACTATTTTGTGCAATCCTTACACGTAAAACATACTATTATATCATAATATATAAAGAAAAATCATGTTTATCCTTAGTTTCCATATTCATGGATTATTTTAATCCGCATCGCCACTGTCATCGTTCTGACCTAACACCGTTCCCTGGAGAATTCCACGAAATCCCTTGTTAATTGGCTTCACCGCTCCTGAAATCTTGGGAAACTCAAAGCTCGCCCCTACAATTTGGTTCGTCTCTTAATTTTTGTCCACTTTCCAATTTTACCCACCATTGATATAGTCACTATTTGTAAAATTAGTGCTTTAAGGTGACATACATGGCTTTATAAGAGAAATTATAGTCACCTATAATGGCTAAAAAAATGCTCGAAAATTTAGCAGTGCTCCAACAAACTATATATTTAAGTGCTCTTAAAAAAGTCAAAATCAATATTCAGCACTTTATAAACAAAGAAGTGTGATAACGTTCAAATTCTTTAAGTAAGAATATTTATTAAGTCTGCTATAATAACATAGTATTACTGTAGGAAAAATATATATGAATATCCCATACGTAGAATATTTATTTATTTTCATTTTTATATCCCAAATTACACTTCAGTTTTTCACTCGTAGATCCTGAATTTTCATTGAAAACTTAGTTGGAGAGGGAATTATAAAACCAAAACCACATCAAAGGTGGACTTTCAATTTGTTTGTGGCTTAGGATCATCGATAGTGGGCGATATTATTTGATCGATTGGTTTAGTTAAAGCAATTATCGTTGTACTGGGAATTTCATCCTTATTGTCACGTAGACAATAACAAAAAAAACGAACGAGTCTTACAGTAGTCGCCTATGATAATTGTTACATTTGAAACCTCACCTTATATTAGTGAAAAAAGAAATAAAACCTACTACAAAAGGAATAAGCCATTTGAATATTGTGTTCTAAAATCAAATCAAATAGCACGCGCTTTCGCGACTTCCTGTTACACACTTCCGTCCCATTTCACGAAATCACTCCCACAAATTGCAGGAAAGCGAAAGGAAAGATGTTACACATCATAAAAAAACAAAATGGTCTTCAACAGAGTTTGAATTGTATGTATTTTAATCTTTATGTGCATATTTAACTTCATCTTTATTTGTAGTGAATTCTAAAGGGCTCATGAGATAAACGAAATTATTGAACGGTCTATGGAATTTTCCATTCAGTTGCCGGTTCAATCGTATGGCAGAAAGATGAACAGGAAGCAGAGCCTAGTACTTGCGACCAAGAGCTCATACCGGGTAACCAGTGCAGGAGTTTTGTTCATGATTTTATTAGGTAAGGCCCAGCTCATTTCGCTGAATCTTGAGCTTGCCGCAATGTGAGCACCACATATCCTCGTTGTAATCCCTGAACCCTGTGGCAATGAAGGCATTACGCCTTTCCCAGGCTGTAATTAGAATCATCGAATTCCTTTAAATACGCGGATTACCTACACTGCAAGTCTTCTCTCTGTGCTTATCTAAATTTGGGTTCAATCTTCTAGTGCAGTTTTAAACGGTCATTCTAATAAAAATAACGAATACTCACGAAAAACAAAATCCGAAAAGTTCGAGTGGTAGATTTGCTAGTATGTCAGTCCAAAGCCACGTTTTGTGTCTGACATATCGCTTTCTACATTTGTGAGCATCGATCACAAGTTCACCGTGCTTGGTTACATAACCCTAAAAGAGTGAAAAACGGGTGAAATACACTTTTTAACCGACTACAAAAAGGAGGAGGTTTACAATACATCATATGTTTTTTATTGTTGTTCGCGCATAAAAACAACGTTTATTGACCAATTTTGATGATTTTTATTTTTATTTGGAGGAGTTTGTTAGTGAGATGGTCCGATATTTTAATTTCGTTAAGATCTGATAAATAATTTCGGAGATAAACTATAGAACACCTCAAAAACGAATAGTAAATATATCATTTTCTGTTATTTTACGAAATATGAAAGAGAGATTACAGGCCAGTAATCTATAGTTAGTAAGTTAATGTTGCTCTGGCTTTTAGAAAGTAAAAAATAAAAGCTTTTTTTACCGACTATTTAAAAACAAAACCACTAAAAATTAAGAAACGATATATTTGTTTTATTTTAATCAAAAATTTTAAGTCAAATTAATATTTGGAGTCGGTGTCATGCCAACGCAATATTTTGCTTTTTAAGGTACTTTAGACTTTAGTAATGAAAATGTGGGTATCAAGATTTTTAGTGATTATGATTTTATGAAGTTGGTTTTTATTTTTGTTAAATAAGTTTTTTTCTGTTTAATGATCATTTGTCACTTCACAAATAAAGGGTTTGATATCGATTAACAACGAAATAGTCCCTCTATCTGTGAGTTGGAAGAATCTTTTTTTAGAGTCACATGAATTTTTGGAAGTTTCTTCTTTATTTATGGGTACAATAAAGCGAACTAAATAATACAGTATAGTGTACGGTCTTAGGGTTATTTTTATTATTTTTATAGGTATGTATTACGTACATAGAAAAAACATGATCACTTGCAAAAGAAGTAACAAGGATGCCACCAAATAGATAATAACCTCATAACACTCACTAGTTGCAGACCTTTTATACCCCTAATAAGGTGAAAAATAATACTACCTTAACTTCAGTAATACATTTTGATGATAAGTATTATTGCGAAGATGTCGCAACGAAAGAACTCATTAAAAAAATCCATATTACATTACACACATATATACCTGATGAATTGTGAGGCAGAGTTTTAAATAAAAAAAATATATCGAACATCGCCTAACCAGAATATGATGTTGCAATCATCGTTCAGAGTTGTCAATTCATAAAGCATCACCACGTAGTTCATAGTTTCAAACAGACATGTCCTATATAAATCTATATTACATTACACACATATATACCTGATGTATTGTGAGGCAGAGTTTAAAATAAAAAAAAATATCGAACATCGCTTCCAACCAGAATATGATGTTGCAATCGTTCAGAGTTGTCAATTCATAAAGCAACACCACGTAGTTCATAGTTACAAACAGACATGTCATATATCCAAAGCCCTTAAATAAAAACAATGAAAAGTTATTAACATACAAAAATCTTTCGTCTGACATCAACAATCCTACTAATAAAATGTAAAACTGTTAACTGTGTTATTCAATCACGCAAAAAAGGGCTGAACGGATTTGTATGAAATTTGGCACATATGTACATTACCTGGATTGAGAAATAGGATTCTGTATGCATTTAACTGCTAGATGTTTAATTTTAAAGAAAATTTTACTAGACAATATTCCACGCAGGCCAGGCAGCAGACGGGAACATCTGCTGAATTTTTACTAATAAAATTTTCCATAGGATACTATTTATCCCCAAAAATTGTAAGGTTCGTGAGGGATCCTCAAAAAACTAAAGTAAACGCGGACGAAGTCACGGACGGCCGCTAGTAATAAAATGAATATGTAATAAATTTCATAATATTTATAGTTAATCTATAGTGACAACCTAGGGCTCAATAGGAATCCTTGTATAAGCATTTACCTATCCCAACATTCTATTTGCACTCGATAAACTCTTAACTCCTTTTTATATTAAAAGCTCTCTCTCCTCTTTAAGTTTGCTTTTGTCTGTCCCTATTGAGGGAATGTTATAATGCAAATATTGATTTCTTATTTTACTTATGAACAAGTTATAAAGTGCATACATTTTGATTCTAAATACTGATATTATGGATATGAAAGTTTGCAGGTTTATTGCTCCCAGAAAATACACTGGATATTTTTTGTCAATACAAATGATAAAATTTCTTTGGAAATATAAAGAAAACGACACCAAAACTGCATTTGCAAATTGTAAAAGAAAAAGAATGTCGTCTTGAAGGTCTTTCGTAATATGTAATCCCAATAAAGGTTCGATATCTAAAGTCCACGTAGAAAAAGTAAACTTTAGCATAATGCGAGTCATTTGAACATGGTATCCAACCCAAAAAACATGACAAGGATCAGTAGCTTTTTATTGAAAGATTGGTTGACCCCAAAAAAAATAAATACAAAATATTTGCTTAATCACTTTATCATCATCAGCCTATCAATGTCTCCACTGCTGGAGCACAGGCCTTCCCTATGGATGGAATAGGGAGATTGAGCCGTGACCCACCACGCGGGCCCAGTGCGGATTGGTGGGTGGTGGTGATGCCTTAATCACTTTGCGATGTGAAAATATGGAGGTAATAGACCTGGAAGAGCCACGAGCCTGGTCGCAGTAGATTCGTGATGCTTGTGTAACTATAATTCGTGAGTACACTAGCACCAGATCTGGCCGTCTGACTGACGTCTGATATTGAACTAGTCGCCACCACCTGACCTGAAATATATTAATCAAAATCAAAAATCATTTATTTAGACTAGGCTGTTACAAGCACTTGTGAAGGTCGAAAGCTACGCCGTCGGTTCGCAAATCTAGACCTTGTACTGAGAAGAACCGGCAAGAAACTCAGCAAGGGCTGCTCTTTTTCTCCCTGTATAGAATGATACAGGGAGAAAAAAGCAGCCCTTGCTGAGATAATAGAATCGCCACAATATACAGAATCGTCAAGTTGAAAAATGACTTCAGAGATAAAATGAATAACTTAACATCATCTTCTATTAACCTCAGCCTGCCTATCGAGATAAAATTTTTAATATAATTTTTCATTATATTTTTTTATTTCTTCTAGACGTTAGCATTCAACTTCTTATATTTACTTAATCTAAAGAAAATAAAGCTACGATTGCTTTTTCTTCTTTCAAATGTTTAACACTTGTAAAGGTATTTCATTTGATATAATGGGTTACCTACAATGCGAAGAGATGGTGTTGCCTTGCAGCCTATGAAATACCAATAGAAATTCGACACGGCCATTAAGCTTGCGGTAGCATAATTGGTCAGTGCATCCAATCGGCTAGCGGAGGGTTGGTTTCGAGTCTAGTCTGCTGTCGGGACCGCGTGGAATTTTTCCTAGTAAATAATTTAGCTTCGTACAGTCGTGCCATACACATGCACGTTAAGGTTCACCTAGTCGCGGGCTCGAACTCACTCGTGAACGCGGCCAAAAGGCACGCTGTCTCACCTGGCATTGTGTCTAAAAGAGATAGAATCAGTTATGAGCAGTTAGCAGCTAATCTACACGCATACGTCTAGTCGCACGCACACAAACACCGTGCCGAAGTCTGCCAAACTGAAACGACGTTAGACGATGCACGGCTTTTAACGCCGCACCGCTGTGCCGGTCAGAGTAACGAAAAGAACCTATTACCCCCCGTATTAGGTTCTTTTCGTTACGAAATTTCTTGATTCGGTCGCCGCGCTCAAAGACCGCGATAAAAGCTATGCAATAGCTTAAAAATATTTTTTAATAATTATTAAAATATACCTACAAGGTTGTACGGAACCCTCGGTGCGCGAGTCCGACTCGCACTTTGCCGGTTTTTTATTTTATGCGGTCAGTCCAGGGTCATACATAAAATTAATGCAGTACATTGAAACTCCGATAACTTAAGTACAAACTAAAATACAACTCACATTAACACCTAACTAGGCTAATGTTCAACCGAAGTCGACCGAAATCGACTGAACAAGAAACGAACCAACTGCATAGTTTGATTAAGGCCGTGTCTGTCTGCAGTAACGAGTTAGCTACGAGAACTTTGGAACTATTTTATTTAGTTAGACAGTCGGTTTGAACTCGTGTTTTGAAAGTCACCGCGGTCACGTCTATTCCACCTTAATACGAATATTAGGTAAATTTTCGTTTCAGACTGTATTTACATAGTAGCACTATTATCTATGTTAACTCAAAGATGAAGACTGTTATTTCGTAATTCAGAATTTGACAGATTCAATTAAATTAACATTGACTTTCTGATGTTAATAAATTTCAAAGATCATTTGGCAATCTAACTAGTTACTTGTTTAAATTGTTTAAGTAAAATATTAGTAACTAGCTACCTTCAAAATTATTTACAAAAAATCTTTCGTTGGGAGTAAAATAAATAAAAGAGTTATGACCTTAGGCGCGGGTCACACCGAAAAGACGTAAGACGCAGCCGGTGCGCGGACAGGCCGCAGACGGAGCCCTGTGCTGACTCGCCGCGCAGTTGCGACTTTTTAAAACATTAAGAAAAAAACGTAAATATAAACAATCAAAAAACCCGACTGCTTAATTATTACTTCAAATATAAACTGAAAAGAAAAAAAAAACTATTTCAGTAGTCTAAAGGAACAAAGCTACTGTAACAGTCGGGACCCATTATTGAAAACAATCCATTTCATTCATGATCCATTCTTGAATATCTGATGGCTCGTGACTGTCAAAGTAGCTTTGTTCCTTCCTTGTTAACAGAATTATTACACTACAGGACTTGTTTTTTTCCTTTTCAGTTTATATTTCAAGTAATAAATAAGCAGTTGTTTTTTATTTTTTTAATTTACCTTTTTTATTTCACCCTTTTAAATTAGAATTATAAGACGGTTTAAACCGCAGTCTTGTTACTTCAGTAAGGGAGTTAATATCCCGGGGATTATTAAGTACCTTGCGGTGGTCTAACTAAACGATTGATTTATCAAGACATATAGAGACCCTGCCACCAGGGTCAAGGCTACTAAGGCTAATGTGCATCTCGTTAAATGGATATCAAACAATATTTTATTTTTGATCCACTATTTTAGCAATAGTGGCTGACACATTAAAAATAGATTATTATGCTGCCGTGGTCTTTTTTGTAGAACTGTTTAAGAAATACATTCATGTTACTTTTATTGTTTTTGCTTTGCAGGCCAATAGTAGAGTCAATGAAGCTTTTTACCTGGAAACCCGGTGGAACAGATTCGATTTTGATGATTTTTTTCTTAAAAAAATTGTTTTTTATATTATTTGAAATCAGAAACCTCTGGAGAGGGGGAAATAATTTTTATATTGTTTAAACAATTTTTATGACATTTTTGGAAAAAAAAATTATAAAGTATCAATTGAAAACTCACAAAAAAAATATGTTTATGTTATCGTTTTCATATTGTTAATACAAATAATTTTAATTTACATGTTATTATATCAAAAACTTAAAAAAAAAACATAATTATAAGATCTTTCATCTAATATAATGACATGACGCTAATATACATAAAAAAGGTAGGATATATTTCATGAAATATAAGAAATTAATAGTTTCATTATTAACATAAATAAAAAAAGAATATTAATAAAAAAAATGTAAATAATTATTCACAAGCACTTATATGTGGAAACTAATGTATACAACAACATGAAAAATATATTATAATAATGTATGAAATTTATTGTAACATATATACATGAAAAAGGGAAACTTAATCTTCATTATTATCATCTTCTTCGGGTGGTGGGTGATTATCACAGTCGCTTCCACTGCAAACGATGCAGGCAGGTGAGCAATGCAAGCCACTTTTTCTGCAGCCACACACTGAGCCGCATCCTGTTTTACAGGAGCAGAATATTATTTTTAAGACGTTTTCGGGTGCTGCGGGTTGCGTCATTTTAATTGGAGTTAAATGATTATCTTTTTGCCAACCCCATTTTTCGGGAGGTATTGGTAAATCATTTTTCCACTGCTGTATTTGTAAATATACTCTTTTGATATGTTGTTTCGCTGTATCCTCTGTAGGAGGCAGCGAACGCTATGAAACATTTATAGCGAAGTTCATTCAAGTTTTTGGCAGTTTTAGCACCGTACAGTGTGAGAATACAATAAATACCATCATTAAAAAGTACTTCTTCACTTTGGTCCTCAATCATATAAGTTTCAGCTGCTGCACGTAACTTCGGATCCTCATTAAAAAAAATAATAAATTTATTTTTACCTTTATTATAGAAAAAGCGGATGTAGTGTCACATCCTGTGAATGAATGAATGATAGGGAGTTCCTGAGCAACAATAGGTCAATTTCAATTATGCGTAAAATTCTACAACTCAGTCAACTTTCTAATACAACGTAAAATATTCATTTAAATATAATATATATATATATATATATATATACTTATACACACATATATATATATAAATATATATGTGTGTAGGTATATGAGGTAACTAAAATATAACGTAAGTGCTCAACGCATTCGTATTATTGACCAATATATCGTATTTTAATGGTTTAAATATTAAATTATTATTAAAAGCCTCATTTTAACAATTACTTTTTATACTAGCATTAACATAAAAATATTTTATTCCAAAAAAAAACGATAAAACTGATTTTTTTATAAAAATGTCATAAGTATTGTTTAAACAATAAAAAACTTTATTTCCCCACTCCAAAAGGTTTCTGATTTTGAATAATACAAAAAAAAAACATTTTTTAAAAAAAAATATCAAAATCGGAGCTGTTCCACCGGGTTTCCAAGTTTTGCCTGTTTTATGTCTTTATTGACTCGACTACAAAAGGGCTCGCAGATGGGAGATTTTTTCCGTCTTACGTGACACTTATTGATATATTTTGGCCAATTCACTCAATAACTACATAAATTATTATGTGTGAACTATATTATATTGTTAAGTTTCAGTAAAATCCATTCGTTATTTTTGGGTGAAGAAGTAATAAATAGCCATACAAAAATGAGATAGAAATTAAAAGCGCAAGTGGTTATTATACAATTTTAAATCGTTGTAGATCCTAAACAGTCACATAAAATGAAACAGTGTAAAAAACCTAAACATAATTTTGGATTACCTAGACAATGATACTCCACTCGACATATTTCTTCAAATTATTTTTTTTTTCACACACTTTGTCACAATATGGCGCCTAATTGTCCCCATATTGAATTTTGATTACTATCATATCTTTAGTAGCACTCCCATGATTAAGACGTATTAATCATCAAAATTGGTGAAGGCGTTTGGTCTCTAGTGTGCCACAAAGGAACATACATCTAAAATCTGGTGCGTGTGTTCGGGCCTGCGCCGGCAGGCGGACAATGACTCCAGGAGGATCACATATTTTATTGTAATATAAAATACATTTTTATCTACAGTATATCCTTAGTTATATTAAATATTATTAGGTTTAGTTCAATTCACTATAAACAATATTGTATGCCCAGAGAAATGCTTATTGATTGTATTTGTGATGCAATTTTGGTTGAATATTTTTGTTATAGTGGTTTAAAGATCGCACCTGAAAGTTTATTGGTTTGGAAACATAGAATTTTATTTTTGTTTACAGTCTGTTTTTATGTTTTTAAAAATATCTTTATGTGGAGTTCTATTTATGAATTAGTTATTTATTTTATTCCTTTAATAGTTGTACAATATGAAATTCGATATAATCTTAGTTCGAGTCATTACA